TGATCCTGCCAGATCTACCAATCCAGAGTCCATATTCTGATCCAGTGGTTGCTTCTCTAGGGTGCCAAATCCTCCTTTGATGATGTCCATTATCACTTTGGAGTGAATTCCCCTGGATTTACCATCTATCTTTATCCACAATATCCTAAAGTCTCAGAATATCCCTTGGAAATGGATCTCTGCCAGATGAATTTGGCCTTTGAGAACCTTACAACTGGTCTTTGGTAGCCTTGGATCCCTTGGAATTTACAGTAAGGTCCGTGTCAAACTAACTAGGGTGGTGCCACAATTTTTTTTGTTGGTCTTGGGGTTTGAACTCTGGACCTGTGTGCTGTCCCTCAGCTCTTCAGCTCAAGGCTAGTGCTCTACCACTCGAGCCATAGTGCCATTTCCAGTTTTCTGTGGTTTATTAGAGATAGGAGTCTCACAAACTTTTCTGCCCAGGCTGGCTTTGAACCACAATCCTCAGATATCAGCTTCCTGAGTAACTAGGATTATAGGTGTGATCCACCAGCACCCAATGACAAGCCCATAAGAGGAAATCATTGTCCCTTGTATCTTTTAACAGGAAATAAAATGAGAAAAAATTTCAAATGTCTAGTTCAAATCAGGAATTGCCCTGCAGAGAAATTTATGATTGCTGCACAGCAAAAATAATCACACAGCTCCCTCCTTACCACCATGGAAACAGTAGCAAAGTAAGTATGAGATGAATTGGCAGATACAAAGTCAAGGCAGATTGAGGTCTAGAAAAGGCCTAGAGGAAGTCAAGAAACAAACAAGTTCAAAATTTAACAGTAAACCTAACATGGAAGCTTCAGAAGACTGGCATGGATGGATTTGCATTGTTGCATGGAGATTGAATTGAGGAAGTTGGAAAGGCCTAACCTTAATATCCCAGCGACATGACCCCTTATTGTATTATGGAAATCTAATTGCAAAAAACATAAAATAATGTGACAGTTTATTCTTGATATAGAGGGAGAGAGAGGGGAGAGTAGAAAGAGGAGAGGGGAGAGAGGACAAAGTGTCAGCACAAGGCTGGTAAAGCAGGACAGCTGGGACTGGTTTCTAAGAAAGGCAGTCACCTCTCCAGATTGGATAACTCCACAAGCATGTCCTGCTGTGGTCGTCTGAGGTGTAAACAGTGGTCTTGCTAAAGAGAAATTTCAAGGTGAGTGCGCAAAAGTGTCTTAAGTATTGTTTATGGGAAGAAATGGAAAGGTGAGATTATTGAAGGAAAGCAGGAAGAAGACAGCCCAACCAAACAACCAAATCTCTGACCTCTGGGTATTTGGCACTATTATGGGCAAGGTTTAATGATTGTCCCACAGAATTATGAAGATTTTTGAAAAATGGGAAGACATTTCCAAGAACTAAGGAACAAGGAATGGTTAACCTAACAAGGTGTCTTCAGAACCTAGGATGGTGACTTGAGGAGACATGTATGTATGAAACAGTAATTATAATAAATGCATTGGATGAGGCTTCTGCCTAATGTTTGCTTCCTGTTTGGGGGACTATTGGCCAAGTAGATGTCAGTCATTGCAACAGAGTAATGATGATGCAGGATGCCACACAAAATATATTCAAACATGACGCAACACTAACTCTTCAATTTCTTTTGCTTGATTGTTCCTTTTATGTCTACCCTATCTCAGCTTTATCTCCAAAATCTGAAGTTAATTTGCATAGCTGGATAGGGTAACTTAATCCTTGCTACTTGGGAGGCAGAGATCAGGACAAGACCAGCTGGAGAAAATGTTCATGCTACTCCATCTTCACCAATGGCTATGTGTGGTGATGTACACCTGCCAGTCAGTTATGTGGAGAAGCACTAATAGGAGGATTGATTTGTAGGACAGCAGGGGCTTAAAGCAAGACCCTATCTCAAAAACTAACAAATATAGAAAGGGCTGGTTAAGTAGCTCAACAAGTAGAGTACATGCCTATAACGTGGGGAGACAGAAAGGACAATGATACATTTCTCAAAGAAGCCCCACTGGGGGATTGGGAGAAATGACTTCTGAATATTCACAATTTAATCACAATTCTACAAAACACTATATCATAATTCAGCTGTGTTCTGTACTAAGGATGCCCATTGAATTTATTTTCTCACAGTTCTGTAGGATGTAAAGTACAAGATGAAGTGCTTCAGGAGAGCGCTCTCTTTCTGCTGTACTGATGACTCTCTTCTCACTGCGTTCTCACTTGGCTTTCCTTGGTATAGCATCTGAAGAGAGAAAGAACCCTCATCAGAATCACAGGACATCTATTATTAAACAAACAAACAAACAAAAAAACAACTACACTGATCCTTCTTTATAATCAAATGTAGCATCAATTACTTCTTGAAAGGACTAATCTCCAACTGTAGAAGCCAAATTGTCTTTTCAATGGCGAATTATGAGATGCTGGTAAAAAAAGTGTTCAATTATAGACATTTACTCAATGATATAACAATATTCTAAAACTCTCACTTCTACATGACCATTTTAAGACAAACTAAGGAATATGCTAAGATGCAAAGGGGCTCTTGGTTTTGGCAGCGTTAGGCATTGAACACAGGACCTTACACTCATTAAGTGCAGGCCCTACCACTGAGCAACACCGAATGTGGCTTAGTGGTAGAGTGCTTGACTAGCATGGGTTCAATTCCTCAGTACCACATAAACAGAAAAGGGCAGAAGTGGCACTGTGGCTCAAGTGGTAGAGCACTAGCCTCGAACACAGAGACGCTCAGGGACAGAGCCCAGGCCCTGAGTTCAAGACCCAAGACTGACAAAAAAAAAGATTCACAGTTCCTTTAAGCCATTAAACATATTTCAGACTTGCTTATTTAAGATATCTGAGAGGAATATGGCAGAATGAGGCCAATTTTTCACTCTTACCTTTAATTTCTCAGAACAATTTGCCCATTGCTTTTGGAGACATGAATACTGACACAAGCCAGTGAACTAATAATACTGATGCCATCCAAATAAAATAGACCAAATAGAACAGAACCAATACATTTCCTGTGTATTACCTTTTTCGTACATGACATCAAAATCACATGGTGTTTTTGGTGTCCAAGTGGGTAGGAGAAAAAGAAGACAAGGAAAACAACTGTGTAACCATCTTACAACAGTAATGAAAGAGACTTTCTATTGAAACCTCATAGAATATAATCAGTTTGCAACTTCCCAATCAAGAGAAGAAAAGAGGATTAGAGACGATTTCTTTTTCATACCTTGCCAAATTCTGAGTGCCTTCACATGAACTATCTTCATTTATCACTCACCAGAAGAAACAAACTAAGTAAAAGAAATTGCCAATGTAATTTTTCTGCCTGTTCTGTCTTTTGAGTGGAAATATTTGTCATTCTGGAGTGAATATCTAATATGTCTTGCTCTTTGTATCCATGGCTAAATCAAAGGTTTAATCATGTGGAGAAAATTGGCAGGATGAAAGTTATAATTAAATTTTGGAGTAAGTAACTGTTTGTTTTGGCTAAACAGTTTAGGCATTGTGCCTTTGCTCATTCATTCATTTAACCCAAAATGGGGGGTCACTTACTGGTCATAGTTTTAATGTCACCAAGTAGCTGTTCTACTTCTGAATAAATACAAGACCACACTTCTCTCAGCCAAATGTTTTAAAAGCCACCTTGACATTCCTACTTCTTTTCCTTTCTTTTTCTTCTCACACATAAATCCTTACCTAGATCTATCTTATCATCTTTGACTTGTGTTTGTGTGTGAGTGCATGTGTCTGTGTGCATGTGGAAAAGAAACAGCTACTCAATAGCATATTCTTAGTATGAAACAAAATATAAAATTTAGAGTAATGAAAGTGCGATAGTTTTCATTTACTAAAAATCAAACTCAAAAAATTGAAGCCCAATGTCTTATTCTGAAGGCTAATACCATGTTTTCTGAAAATTAGTACATATTATTTAAGATGATGAATGCATAAATGCCTATCTTACACTCTGTTATTTGTAATTTTTGCAACATTCTTCTTCTTAAATGCTCTCCATATCTGCCAAACAGAAATTTTGTGTAGTGCTGGGAGATAGTGCCTTATGCTATAATCCCAGCTACTCAGGTGACAGATCTGAAGATCATGGTTAAAAGTCAGCCTGTAAAGGAAATTCTGTGAAATTCTTTTCTCCAATTAGCCACCAAAATGCAGGAAATAGAGCTGTGGTTCATGTGGTAGAATTCTAATCTTAAGCACAAAATCTCAGAAACAGTGCCCAATGCCTTTGGATGAGCCCAATAAGTAAGTAAGTAAAATAAAATAAAATGGTGTGGTAGAAATATCCATAGAAAAAAATGGAAATATTTTGTAGCTCATTAATTTGTGATTTTTTTTTATCAGTCTTGGGCTTGAACTCTGGGCCTGGCTGCTATCCCTCAGTTCTTCAGCTCAAGGCGAGCACTCTACCACTTGAGCCACAGCACCACTTCTGGTTTTCTGGTGGTTTATTGGAGATAAGAGTCTCATGGACTTTCCTGCCCTGGCTGGCTTTGAACTCCAATCCTCAGATCTCAGCCTCCTATTACAGGCATGAGCCACGGGCACCCGGCTAATATATGATTATTATAAAGAAAATATTTTCTACCTAGACATAGGTTTTTCCACCACACCAGTTTTAAATATCATATATCCATATGCAGAAAACTATTTTAACTTCTATTATTTTATATATATATATATATATATAAATGTATTTTAGCTAAGTGCTAGTGGCTTATGCTTGTAATTCTAGCTACTCAGGATGCTGAGATATGAGGATCTTGGTTTGAAGCCATTCCAGAGACTCTTTACTCCAATTAGCTACAAGAAAACCAGAAATGGTGCTATGGCTCAAAATGGTAGAGCCCTAACCTTGCGCAAAAGAGCTCAGGGACAGTGCCGGGGTAAGAGTTCAAGCCCCATGGCCAACAACAAAAGTTTTTTGAGGGAAAGGGAAATGTTTATTCATACAACCTTATTTTTTCCCCCTTCAGTTTTGTCAAAGCAGCGTGCATCACAAGTCCTGGTTAGGAAACGCCGTGCAAATTCTTTACTTGAAGAAACCAAAGAGGGTAATCTTGAAAGAGAATGCATCGAGGAACTGTGCAATAAAGAAGAAGCCAGAGAGGTATTTGAGAATAACCCAGAAACGGTAAGAATTCACGGAAAACTATTAAGTCCTCATACGTCCACATGAATACAGCCTGAATACTTCCAGTTGAGTTTTTGTGCTCTATCCTGAAGATACTGCTTTTGTATATCACAATCCTCATGTACACCAGTTCTATTTTTGGGGAAAATATTGTGGAAGGAAAGTAGACTTCATTAGGAAGTCTACTGCCAATAATAATGTGTCATGACCTAACTATAATTCACTTATACTTCATTATTAGTATGTACTAATGACTTAATGGCTTTCAAATATTTTTTTCTAACAAAATATGATAATATTCAGTACAGAAGATAAAATGTCCCAAGTATACTGTATGTGTATGTGTTGTTATCACCATGGTTCCTTAAATCTCTGTATTCTCTTTTCCCTTTTCTGTCTTTCCTTCTTTTTCTGTCTTCCTTTTCCTCTTTCTTTCTTTCTTTCCTTCTTTGTTTCTTTCTTTCTTTCTTTCTTTCTTTCTTTCTTTCTTTCTTTCTTTCTTTCTTTCTTTCTTTCTTCCTTCCTTCCTTCCTTCCTTCCTTCCTTCCTTCCTTCCTTCCTTTCTTTCTTTCTTTCTTTCTTTCTTTCTTTCTTTCTTTCTTTCTTTCTTTCTTTCTTTCTTTCTTTCTTTCTTTCTTTCTTTCCTTCCTTCCTTCCCATCCTTCCTCTCTTCCTTCTTTTTTCCCTCCCTTCCTTCCTCACTTCCTCATGCTCTTCTTTCCTTTCCTATTTTTCATTTTCTTCATGTCATGAGTATTGTGATTACAAGTATGTAATGCTAGCCATTTATGTTTATTTATTTATCCAACAGTACAAGAGTCTGAGTTATGGACTTGGTGCCTGCTAAGCTGGTGCTTTGCCAGGCTCAGTCATATCTCTGGCTCTTCTTTTGGCTAGCTATTTTTGGACACAAAGTCTAGTGAGCTTTTCTTCCTGGGATGGACCTGAACCCCAGTCCTTCATATCTCAACTTGCTGAATAGCTAGAATTATGGACATGAGCTGCCTGCACATGGCTGCCCCAATTTATCTTTAAATGGGCTCTAAAATATTTAATCTAAAGCATGTATTAGAATGTAGTATTGAGTGTACTTTGATAAACCTTGAGAGGTTTCCTGAACAAACTTTATTGTCACTAGTCATCTTCACTTAGGAAAAAAGGGTAGTACATGCAGACAAAAAATTTGTATGTTCTGCAGAATTAAGAAGATTGAAGGACAGGCTGGAAGGGGAAGGATGGGTAAGAATTTTGAAAAGGTTGGCATCGATCAAGATATATTGTACTCCTAAACTGCTTTGCTAAATGGCAACTGCTTTGTACAACTACTTTAATAATAAAAAATAAAGTAAGCATGACTGAAAAAAATTTTGCTAGTCTATAAGATATATAATCATAAATACCTTTAAATGTCATGCAAAACATAGGATCTTATCATTGATCCTGTTATTTTTAGGAGAGGATATGATTTGGTATTTTCAGTGGGTAGCAGCATATAAACAGTACCTCCAAGAAGTAGTGTGAGGGTGACTCTGAGAGTTCAGATCTGATAACCTATAGGGTCACTTCAGAAAGTTTTCCTGAGATAAACTATATAACTTAGAGTTAGAAATGAAGAAAATATAGACAAAGTATGTCCCATACTTCTGCCATAGCTCTCAGTACCATGCGGACAGATGAGCAGAAGTCATTAGTCTGTAGGTAGAGTTTGTCCAAGAGTATAGCAACTTGTGTCTCTGAGTCTTCTCTCTTTTACCTCTACATATTCTAATGAGCTCAAAGTGATTGTCACTAAGTACTCAAAAATTAATTTTTAATCTCTCTAGTATAAGATAAAAATGTTTCTCCCTCTGCTTTGTTACTTTTACAGATAAGGAGCTGACAGATGAAAATTATTTAGTTTCACACAGTAGTGTAGACTATTCTTACAATTAGGTAGCATATATGTTACATGTTTTACATTTATGTAACAACCAGGAATATGAGTGCCCTGTATATATTATAAATTTCCATAGTATGAAAGAAGTAAAATAGTATATATTCACAGATATTTTTATTATAGGATTTTAATATATAGAAATATAGATAGATATTTTAAATAGAGAATATATATTCTTTATATATAAAAATTAATATAATTAAAAATTTAAATATATACCAAAGTGAAAGATAATATAATAAACTCCAATAAACACACTTCAATATGACATCTTTTTTGTTCTGTTTTAATTATATTTTTTATTATCTTCAAGTAATTGTACAAAGGGGTTACCATTCAGCAAATCAGTTCATTAATACTTAAAGGCATTTTGATAGTTTTCCTCCTTTCATCATTCTCTTCCATCCCTCCCAGCCCAACTCCTCCATTTAATTATCCTAGTTATCAGTGTTTTCAACAATATGTTATTTTTATTTTGCCAACCTCTTCATCTTAATTTTTGTTTTGTTTTTATGGAATGTTTTAAGGTATGTTTGAATGCCTAAATGTCATATTATTATTATAGCTCCTATAAATACTTGAATACACATCTCTAACTGTAGATATATTCTTATATCTCACTTATTTAGTAGCAAAGGAAAGTGAGGTAGGAATTCAAGTGAGAAGAAAAACATGGTGGAGAAGGAAAATACATTAATACACATCCTCATTGTCACTGATTGTTACATTGACACAAGAAAAAGAGATAGCAGAGACATCAAGAGGAATATAGAAAAATAAAGAAAAAATAATTTATTATTTATCATTTTCTAGTTTATCTCAAACACTCTTGTCTATATCCTTATTACCCTTTGTCTTATTCCTTCCATTCACCTTACTACTTACCTCCTCTCTATCTTTAATCTGTTCCTTTCACCAACATATCATGACTCTGAACTCTGCTGCTTATGGTTCTTGATTTTCTTCTGGAGAAAAAAAAACCCACTATTGTCTGAATTATTCAGTATGACATTTCTGTCCTTACAAAAAAGTGCATATATGTTGCATAGGAGTGGGGATTTTGTTGTGGAAAAAGGTATGTTCTATATTTAGTAAACTGGATTACTGAGTAAGTTTTTGTGCAGAAATACTGGTTTTGCAGGAGTTGTTGTGGTGCTAACAATGCCACATATTACATATTATGACTAGAGCAAGTATGATTCTGTTGAACAATGGGAAAATTGCTGTCAATTCTGTTATTTTTTGTCTTTTTTTAAATGCATTTTGTAGAGAAAATTCTTGATTCAGAAACTGTTTATATATAACCAACTATAGTAATATATTACATGAGTATCACATACTAAAAGTATTTATAAGTATATAAGTCATCATGATATAAAATGTGTCAAATGGGTATCTAGTTACTGTGATAAACTGACGGCATATATCATTCTATTGTAACTCTATGATAAAATTCAGGTTTGCTAATATATATTTTTTATTTACTCTCTAGGATTATTTTTATCCAAAATACTTAGGTAAGTTTTAAGGATCTGAATCAGGTGATCTTTTGAGTTTAACTGAATTGATACATCCTATCCAATAAAACTTTACTGATCATGGGCATGAAATCTTTGCAGTTTTCATTTAAAGAAATGGACACATTTGGAATGGTTCTTAATCACATAGCATTTTCCCTTTATTTTTTGTCATTCTCATGTATCTCCTATAAAATGTCTTTGTGTTGATGCCCAGCTATCTCTAGGTACCCAAAATATCCTCTATAAATATGAATTTTCATGAGTTATTTCTCAGTGAAAAGGAACATCTCTAAAGTCTCCAGATATGATGATGTAAGCAGTTATCATCTAAATATCTGTAGAATCATTAACAGTTTTTCTGTGATACCATTTCATACATCTCTCAGTATTCCATAAATTTTTTATTTTGTGTATAATATTCAGAGTTTATCAACCTACTTTAGGTAGGATATTCTTTCTCAATGGAAATGGTTATTATTTTGTACATGAACCCATACAAAATAAAGAATATACTGTGCCTTGCTTGTTTTATTTAAATGTATAACTTTAAAGATAACATACTTAAATTTAACAGACCTACTTCTGCTTAATCTAAATACTCTATTAAATTGACAAAAAGCAAAAGTAAATAGGAACATTGAGGGTTAGCATTTGGAATACTGATACTTATGATCCTATAGGAAAGTAAGTCTTTGACATTTAGAATAATTCCTGCTATGATTTCAGAACAAGTAAATGTGGCTACTTTAAAAAAAATTGCATTTGTTTTTATTTACAGGTTGTCTTGGCGCTTTTCGAGCTGGAATATTTGTTGGTGGACGTCAGTCAACAAACTCTTATCCTGAACTCAGGAGCTGTGTCAATGGTAAGCAGCCCCATCATAGATCCAAAACTAAAAATAGACAAAAGTATAGCAAAGCAAAACATAAACCTTGCAAGTACAATACATCTATGTCAATGTAAAATAGTGTTTAAAAATCAATAAATGAACTGTTGAAGGGTTGTATGCCCAGTTAGGAAGTATTTTCAAACTTCATATGAATAAATATCTTTTAGTTGTAAGTGCAATTGTTTAAAACAAAACTTCACCTAACATTTAAGCTGGATTGTGATCCTTAAATCACTGATTTAAATTTTTTTTTCTTTATAACAGCTCTATTTTGGCTACTGTTGCATAATGAAGTAGTACAACCAAAGTTGATCAAACAGATCAAATAGAGCCAGGCTTCTTCCTACAAGTCTAGTTTTGTCTTTGCCTTTGGAATGTAGTTTCACTATGAGGACAGTGATCAACATTCAGCATATGAAAAATGTCTTTCCATTGTCTACTTAAACAAAGATATTTTGATGAGAAGTCTGCTGTCAATCTTGCTTTTCTCTCTTAAACTATGCATCTTCCTCTGCTTTTAAGATATATTTTCCCAGTTGTGATTGCTTACGTCTATAATTCCAGCAACTTGGAGGTAAAGATTGTATGGGATACAGTTAAAGGCCAGCCTGGGCAGAAAGTGAGACCTCATCTCAAACACACTGAACATGATGCTGAATAACTGTAATCATAGCAATGTGGGAAATATACATAAAGATGATCATGAATCATGGTTTGAAGCAAGCCCAGGCAAGAAAGTCTATTAGACATTTTTTTTTTTTTTTTGGTCGGTCGTGGGGCTTGAACTCTGGGCCTGGGCGCTGTCCCTGCGCTCTTCAGCTCAAGGAGAGTGCTCTACCGCTTGAGCCACAGCACCACTGCCAGTTTTCTAGTGGTTTATTGGAGATAAAAGTCAGCGGTAGAGTGCATGCCTTGCAAGCATGAGGCACATAAACAGAAAAAGCCGGAAGTGGTGCTGTGGCTCCAGTGGTAGAGCGCTAGCCTTGAGCTGAAGAGCTGAGGGACAGCGCCCAGACCCAGAGTTCAGGCCCCATGACCGGCAAAAAAAAAAAAAAGAACCGTGATCCTCATATCTCAGCCTTCCGAGTAGCTAGGATTATAGGCGTGAGCCACCGGCGCCTGGCTTATGAGACATTTTTTTTTCCAGCTATATGGCTTGAACTCAGACACAGAATCTGGGCACTGTCCCTGAGCTTTTGTGCTTAACTCTAGTTCTCTACCACTTTGAACCACAGTTCCATTTCGTCTTTTGGTGGTTACTTGAAGAGTCTCACAGACTTTCCTCCCTAAGCTGGCTTTGCACCTCGATCTTCAGATCTCAGCCTTTTGAGTAGCTAGGATTATAAGTGAGAGCCACCAGTTCCAGCTGTCTATGAGACTCCAATAAACTGCTAAAATAAATAAATACATATATACAAACATACATGCATACATACATACAGAAGCCAGAAGTGGAGCTGTGGCACAAATGGTTGAGCATTAACCTTGAGTAAAAAGGAAGTTATAAGATAGCAGCTGGCCCTGAGTTCAAACCCCAGGACTGAACCAAAAAAAAAAAAAAAAAAAAAAAAAAGAAGAGGAGGATCATGTTCCCAAGCTACTCTAAGTAGAATACACAATAAGCTACCTAGAAAAATTAAAGCTAAAAGTGTTCTGTGTGTTTTAAGTGGTAAAATACTTGTGGTAAAAAATCTTGTATGCACAAGATCCCGAGTTCAAATCTTTGCACTGCAAAAATAACTAAATTGGTAAATAAAAATTTGATCTTGATTTTTAAGTTTGACTAGGGCTATCTAGAATTGCCATTAACTTCAAATTAATTTAGCCCAATTATTAGACATTAGCTTTGGGAGTTTTCTACCTAATAGTAGAAATCTATAGAGGTTCTAAGGTTCTGGGATCTTGACTGATTAATTGCACAAAACAGTTCCAGGTCACTTAGATCATTTCAGTCTTTCAGTCTGGCTGTTCTTCTACTCTCTGACTTTACAGTACTCTGACTAGCAACATTCCAGTATGATTTTCCTGAACTCCAGTGTTTATTCCCTCCACCTTTGGGTTCTCTTTGAATTCCTTTCTGCTGAATGGAAATCATCCACAGGCAATTCCTTTGCAATTGTATGTCTCACTTGCTTAATTCCTTTCCTTTATGAATCATGTTTTTCTGCTACTCAGTCCCCAATGCTTGAAAGGCATGATTCCATACATTTAACTAAGTTCTACTAATTTAATGCACAAACAGAAAATCTGTCTCCTTTCATACCATCTTTACCCAAATTGAAATTCTGCTAATTTGGAGAGCAATTTGTTTCATTTGCCTGCCTATGAAATGGCTTCAAACACCAGATAAGGTGATATACTTGAAAAAATACTTGTTACAACTAGCGAATATTGTATACACTTATTGTAAAGGTAGTGTCCCCAAGTAATATTGTTGTAAGGATTTGCCTAATGGGGCTACTTTGTAATGAGGATTAATTATATGAAGGACAATTTGTATTTTTATATGCTATTGGCTTAATACAAAAGGATTCCTCTTAAAAGAGCCATACTTATTTTATATGGCATTGTATAATAAAATTTAAATAGATGTCTATTTCCTTCAGCCATTCCAGACCAGTGTAATCCTCTGCCATGCCATGAAGATGGATACTGGAGCTGTAAGGATGGCCAAGCTTCATTCACTTGCATTTGTAAACCTGGCTGGCAAGGAACAAGGTGTGAATTTGGTATGTATAATAAAACTACCTGATTCATCTTTATTGGCTACATTAAAATTTCTCTGCAAATGTTATCATTCTTAATTTGTTTTTCCTTTTTTAAAATTAGATATAAATGAATGCAAAGATCCCTTCACTGTAAATGGAGGCTGTAGTCAGATGTGTGATAATACACCTGGAAGCTATCACTGTTCCTGTAGAAGTGGTTTTATTATGCTTTCAAATAAAAAAGACTGTAAAGGTAAGAGCAAGGAAGGAGAATAAGAACGTTTTTGCTGTGAGTGAACACAGTTTAGCTACCGGATCTCCTCAGGAAAATCTTAGGAAACTCTGGGTGTTAATGATTATAGTAAATATCTTGAATCCTTGTAATACTTTCAGTTTACAGTATTGCCCATAAGAATATTCTGGTGCTGGAAGTGGCGCTATGGCTCAAGTGGTAGAGTGCTCACCTTGAGCTGAAGAGCACAGGGACAATGCCCAAGCTCAGAGTTCAAGCCCCACAACCCACAAAAAAAGAGTCTTATAGATGCTCCTGCCCGGGCTGGCTTTGAACCAAAAAAAAGGAAAAAAGAATATTCTGGTGCTTGCTTATTGAATGTGTGTGTGTGCATGCACATCTCAGTAAAGAATTTTATTGCAAATCAAAATAAAGAATTTCCTGATAAATTGAGGTTTTAGTGCAGGTGTTTCCATGTTAGACTTAGACAAAAATACTTTTTATCCTCTCTTTCCAGAAGTTACCTACTATTATTTTTTTTCTTTGAATAGCAAAACAAAGAAATCTTAAGTACTCTTTAAAAGTTTTGCCCATTATATTTTAATATTTTCTTTTCAGAAATATTTTTGTGATTTCCAAGATAAAACCTTCATCTTGGACTTCATTTTCTATTGTGGTTCTGAGAAAGCTGTTCATCTTGTTTTCTTATTCATTTAAAATCATTGGTCGTAACTCTTTTCTTTTTTCTTCTGACTTAAATAATCTCTAAATTTACCTATTGTGAGTTTGTTTTTAGCTAGGGAATTTATTTTACTTTAGATCATTGTCTCCCAGATTTTAATTTTTTCATAGTTGCCTTTCTGTTTGGATGCTTTAATTGCTAGAACAATTCTTCAAATACTTCATGCTACATATAAAGTAATTTGCACAAAACTTCCAACGCTTAAGTCAAATTTTTTCTCTTCTTCCTCAACTTTGTCTTCTTCACCCCTTCCCTCCTTTGTCTTGCAGAGATTAAAACATTTGACAACTTAAAATGAAATCAAATTTTCTTCATTAATTATAGGGTTCCTTTTCTGCCTTCTTTATCTGTTTTGGTAACTCCTTAAATTCAATTTTTTAAGAATGGTCTATCCCTTATCACATAGTAGTATTTAGCTTGAAGTTTACTATAATATTTAAAGTATAGTCAAATGATTCTTTTTTTTTTAGGCTATGAAATCTTTTTTTTTTATTATGAGAATACTGTACAGAGGAGTTACAATTACATGGGCAAGATAACAAGTACGTTTCTTACCAAGCATTGTTGCCTCCTCTTTGTTTCCCCTTCCCATCCCTTCCCATACTCCCCCACTCCCCACCAAAGTTGTAAAGTTTGTTTTTCGACATAACGACTTGTACATCTCAAATGATTCTTAAATGAACTGCATTTACAAATAAATTCTTCAAAACCATTTTCTACCTTGTGACCATCTATCTTTTTTTTCAAAATTTTATTTTTATTGTCTTTAAATAGTTGTACAAAGGGATTTTCTGAGGTTAATTGAAGATAAGAGTCTCATGGACTTTCCTTCCCAGGCTGGCAATGAACCATGATCCTCAGATCTCAGTCTCCTGAGTAGCTAGGGTTACAAGTGTGAGCTGCCAGTGCCTGGCTACAACGTATCTTTAGTGATATTACTCTTTCATGCATCTTTATTGATGTCATCTCTTTGATCATTCTCACCCATCCCTCCCAACCCTTCCACTCAATTTTCCTAGTATTCATGTAATATGATTGCATTCTTCCTCTCTTCCTCTCTTTATTTGTCTACTCCTTTCCTTTGGCCTCTCCCTCACACAAGTGCCAGTTTCCTGGTATTCATTTTGTTGGACTGTGATTTAGTGTTTTAAGGATTTACCCAATTTTAATTCTCTCCTATAAATACCATACTTCAGTTAATGTATTTGTGTGCACTTGAATACTACATTACATGTGTTTGCTTGTGCATTTATGAATTAGTTCTAGCTTCCACATATGAGAGAAAAATGTGTTCTTTTTCTCTTTGGCTCTGACTTACTTCACTTAACCTAATAGTTTTCATTTCTTTGCAATTGACATATCATTCTCCTAATGGATCAGTAAAATCCTATTGTGTATATATACTACTTTTTTTTATTGTCAAGGTGATGTACAAAGGGGTTGCAGTTACATAATTAAGGTAATAAGTACATTTCTTGTCGAACTTGTTACCCCCTCCCTCATTTTTTCTCCAACTTTTCCTCCCTCCCAATCTCTACCCCCTACAAATTGTACAGATCATTTCCAACATATTGTCTTGTGAGAATTGCTGTTTATTGGTTCCTTCTTGTCCTTTGACATCTAAGCTGTTTCCATACTTGGCTATGGTGAGTAGTACTGTTATGAACATGGCTTTCATGTACCTTGGTTTGTAGTCTTTTGGATAAATGTCTCAAGAGTAGTATTGCTGAATCATAAGTAATTCTATGTTTACTTTTTTGAGGAATCTACAAACCACTTTCTAGAATGGTTTATATTCCCATCAACAGTGAATTAGGTTTTCTTTTCCCCACATCCACGCCAGCATATGTTGTTTATATTCTTCATAATGATAATGGCTATTCTAACTGAGGTAAAATGGAATTCATTTCCTTTATGGCCAGAGATGTTTATGGCCAGAAATTTCCTCGTGTACCTGTTGATCAGTTTTACTTCTTTTGAGAAGTCTCTGTTTAGTTCCTTGCTCATTTACTAATTGGGTTGTTGATTGTTTGAGAGCTTAGTTTTACATATTCTGGATACTATGTCAATGCCTAAATTATAGCTGACAAAGATGTTCTCTCATTCTGTAGGCTGTCTTTTAGCTTGTTGGCTATGTCCTTTGCCATGCAGAAACTTCTTAGTTTGATGCAATCACATTTGTCAGTGTTCTCATTGATTTGCTGAGCCTTTGAAACTTTATTCAAAAAGTTTCTCCCTAATATGTATTCTACTCCTTTCTGTATTAGTTTTATGATTTCATGTCTTCCATCTATTTTAAGTTAATATCAGTACAGGTTGACAGATGGGGATCTAGTTTCAGTTTTCTGGATATGAATATCTAGTTTTCCCAACATCAACTGTTGAAGAATCTGTCTTTTTTCCATCCTAGGTGTTTGACTCTCTTATCAAATATTAGATGGGTATAGGTCTGGGTTTTATTCCTGTGGCTACTCTTCTGTTCAGTTGATGTTTGGGTCTGTTTTTGTACTAGTTTCATGCTCTTTTTACTACTACTATAGCATTACAGTAGAATTTGAAGTTGGAATTTTTATACATACAGAACTATTATTTTTTGCTCAGGATTTCTTTTGTTCTTTCTTATTGGCTTATTAGAAAGTATTAGTTTGGATATTTCAAATTGTGATAGTTAAAACATTATTTCGAAAAAACTGTTATAATTCCATATAACACGCGTACTATACAGAGTACCCCTTCTACTTCTACATATAAACACTGGAATTGTGTGATTTTTCTAAATGACTTTTAACTTATCAAACATGTTTAATCTTCTCGATGGAGCTAATTAATCAAATACATACATATATACAATTTCAGAATGCCCTTTCAAAAATAAGAAGGTTTCTTGACCTAGGATATTTTATTATGTTCTCCACTTATTCAGTCTTTTATTTATGATATGTAAGCAAAAGACTGCAGAAGTTAAAAAATATGCATAAAACTAACTCAGGGGCAGTGATGGGAGGGAGAGAATTAGAGAGAAAGGCTAATAGCTTACACTAAGCAAAAGGAAAGAAATGTACATATCATCCACTTTGGAAAAAAATAGCTGTAGTGTCAAAATTTGTAGAGACCATAAGCTTTAGACCATGATAATGACAATGTGTCTTGTGAAGGTTAAAATATGTTTGTGACTTTAACTAAGTATCACTTATCCTGCAACACTGTGAATTTTGTGAGATTTATGTAATCACTTAATCTCAATAATGAAAAAAAATGACTTAAAAGTATGCTTAAAACTTTATTTACTATAGCTAAGATATGGAACCAACCCAGATGCCCCTCAGTAGATGAATGGATCAAGAAAATGTGGTATATATTCACAATGGAATTCTATGCCTCCATCAGAAAGAATGACATTGCCCCATTTGTTAGGAAATGGAAAGGCTTGGAAAAATTTATATTAAGTGAAGTAAGCCAGGCCCAAAGAAACATAGGTCCCATGGTTTCCCTTATTTGCAATATCTAGTATATGTCTGAGTCAAGCCGAAAAGGACAGATAAGGTGATGTTAGGGAAATGAACCCTAAGATATGTATTCAAATGTTTTTTTTCTTTCATGTGATTGTTTCTAACATATTTATAAGATTATTTCTTTGTTGCTTTGTATGTCCCTCCCCCACAGCATAACCCCTGCTTTCACTTTATTTGATGTCGGTATAATTTGAGGAGGAGAAGGGGAAAAACAAATCGTTTAAATAGGGATACAGGTGGACTCATTGCAACAATGAGAAGTACAAGTCGTTATGTCGAAAAATGAATTTTACAACTTTGGTGCGGGGAAGAGGGGAGAGGGAGAAGGGTAGCGGGGAGGATTAAGGATTGGGGGGGGCGAGGGGAGGATGGGAAGGGATGGGAGGGGAAACAAAAGAGGAGGCTACAATGCATGGTAAGAAATGTACTCATTATCTTGCTCATGTAATTGTAACCCCTCTGTACAGTATTTTCACAATAAAAAATAAAAAAATATAAAGGATATATATGATTGAAAAAAAGAAATATACTCTTTATCTTGCCCATGTAATTGTAACCCCTCTGTACAGTATCTTCACAATAAAAAAAGGTAAAAAAAGTATACTTAAAACTATTGTATGTAACTTTAGCCAAGATATGAATATGCTTAAGTTGCCAATAATTATTTATATGTGGTGGAAGAAAACTTTTTACCAGATTTTAGAGATGTCAATGTTGAGATCCAACTTCAATATCATAAATTCATATTATTTACCTATTTCTCAGTATATGAACCTCAGAACAAGTTATTTTAGTCAAATTGGCTCACATTCTTTTGAACATAAGAATTTTATCACTTTTAAAAAATTTTAAAAATATTTTGATTTAACTAATGATTCACAGTAACTTGTAAGAAAAAACAGAGAGATCACAGGTACTATTTAGTGGTTTACCTCATTGGTAATTTTTTACAGACTTACAGAACATTAGCATTGATACAGTTAAATCCATTAAAATGAGGGATTGATACCATTGCTTTAAAAACAATTTGGCTATTCCCCTCTGGGGGGAGAGGAGGCTAAAACTTGCCAATTGCCAATTCTTCAGAATAGATAACATATTTTCAACTCTGAATTTGTACTTCTCTGATGAGTACAGATAAAGAATGTTCACTAGTAATTACATCTCCATGGAACTATTTCTATCACTGGTGAGTTTTCCTTGTTAAGTGTTCCTAGTAGCTAGCTGCAATATTTCTGCAATATTAGTTTAGCAATAAAGCTTATATTGGGCTAGATCTTACGATCTTACTTATCTCCATTTTAAACATGAACCCCTTTGGAATAATAAGAATAGATGAATTAGCTAGCCAGGTGCCACCACCTCATACCTATAATCCTACCTACTCAGGAAGTTGAGATCTAAAGGATCAAGATTTGAAGCCATTATTTTGAAGACAAATCTCTTAGACATCTAAAAGGTCAAAATAATCGGCAAAAGCTAATCTGGAGGAGTGGCATTCAAGAGTATAGCACCAGCTGAGAAGTACAAGGCTCTGAGGTCAAACAACCAGTAATGGCAAAAAGAATGAATAGATTAGATATTTGTCTGTTTTTAGTGAAACAAGTTGCAAAAGATGAGCTTTCTAATCTTGTAACATATATGGTAGTAAGAAATGAATCCACTTTTAAGACCAAATTTCAAAGTGTGTTTATAAGTTCATTTGAAGTATTTTAAGAATATGATTTAAAATGTTTTCATTTTTGAAACTATTAGGTAAGTATAACAAAATCCCTGTCTTTTTTTTATATAACTATAAAAAGACTGGCAAACAACAACATTGATAGAATTAAATCCATTAAATTCATAGAAAATTTCTATCAAACTCATATCAAAATTTGATACAAATTTTCTATGAATTTATATAAAAATAATGTTTAGTGAACTATATCCTGATGACAGATTTAATGCTTTTTTATTATAAAAAGATTAGTCAGTTGTTTCACATTGTATATATTATAAATAATACTTTAATGTATAATGTATGTATTAGGTTAGATCCTGAAATCACAAAGGTTCCCTGCCAGCATCTTCTGGTAGGATAAAATTGTTCTTTAATATATTGGTTTTTGTTCTAGATGTGGATGAATGTGCCACAAAGCCAAGTGTTTGTGGCACAGCTGTGTGTAAGAACACTCCTGGAGACTTTGAATGTCTGTGTCCCGAAGGCTACAGATATAATCCCAAATCAAAGTCTTGTGAAGGTAAATGGTGTTGGTTTCACTGCTAATGGTACAGAGGGTGACTTCAAACCTTGGGTTATATTGAAGATCACTGTTTTTGTTAGGAAACCAATAATGAGATATTTGAAACTGTATGTTTACAAAACTTATGTAACATTCAAAGATTAAGAAAATCTTTCTTTGAGAAGGAAAACAAGCTTAAACCATAGATGTGAGAAAAATGAGGTCTAAGTTTTTTTTTCTAATATTTTCAGTTGTGTTGTATGTGATTATAAGTCATTAGACAATAGGAAACAACAAAATCTGTTGTAATGGATATAACTGAGCTCTAGAAAGACATGTCAGCATGTCTAGATGTAGCCTGGCCTCTATGAAGGGTAGTGGTATTGCCATTTGTGTCTCAACTAGCTTCAAAATTGAATGGTTTTGTTTCTTTAATCATAGTATTCAAATTAGCTCATCTTTTCTCTCTCCCTCTCCCTCTCCCTCCCGCCTTCCCTCCCTCTCTACCTCCCTCTGTCTCTCACCCTCTCTCTCTCTCTCTCTCTCTCCCTCTCCCTCTTCCTCTCCCTCCCCCTCCACCACACTCTCTCCCTCTCTGATCCTCCTTTCCCTCTCTTCTTCCTTGTTTCCTCTCTTCCTCCTTTCCTCCCTCTCCTCCCAACACCATGTTTATGTTGCCCGGTCTGGCTTTGGACTCTCCAGTATCCATTGTCTTAGCTTCTTGAGTGCTAAGATTACAGTCCTGTCCCCTACACCTAGCCTAAAACTCAATTTTAAATATTTTAAAGATTCAAAATTAATTTAATACTGGGGCTAAAGCTAGTCAAATCAATAATACATAGTGTACCTTGTAAGCCATTTTCAGTGTAGAGCTTGATGGCAGTAACTATACTCACATGGTTGTATATCTCTCACAACTCTCACTTTCCCAACATTTTCAGTACCCCAAACAGAAGTTTCAACTATTAAGCAATGAGTTTTCTTGTATTATTTAACTTGTGAAGAGTTGATGCCCTTGTGACCCAATCCTCAAAGAAATTAATTGGGAGATAATCTCAATGAAAGTTTATATAATCAGGAATGAGAGATTAGGCACTAAATCATTTTTTTCCTTTCAAAATGAAAGCCAGAAAAGCAATATAACTATTTCAATTGTGTAAATAAATAAAAGCTACATTGTAACTCATTTAAAATTCGAGGTCCAGTATTTAAAGATGATGTCATATAAATTTCCTTCCCTGTTTTTGATTATTTAATACTAAAATGAGATGAATCCTCTGTCTATGGACTGAATATTTGAAGGACATGCGAATATCTGTGTTCTTTTTACTCCAGATGTGGATGAATGCTCAGAGAACATGTGTGCTCAATTTTGTGTCAATTATCCTGGAAGCTACTCTTGTTATTGTGATGGGAAGAAAAGATTCAAACTTGGCAAAGATCAGAAGAGTTGTGAGGTAAACATTTTATAATACAGAACTTCTCACTTCTTTTACAAAATGAGAAATCCATTTACTTATTTTCATATAGCTGAAGAAAATCAGAAAAATGCAGGTTTTCTACAAGAATTTCTATAGTTCTAAGCCAAATATAAGTCCTGATCTTTAATTATCCTCCACAGGAGATAATTATTGACTGTTCTTTTTTTTAAGGGCTAATAGGATCATAGTTTTGAGAAAACTCATCTGGAGCCTACTTATTTACAGAATGCAGTGTACATTTACTTAAGAGATAAGGAAAGCTGATATTAATATTCCTATTTGTGAAAATATAATGTACATAGAAACCTTAGTGAAAACATTTTCTAGTGTATACTTTTCTGTAGGGCCATGCTGACAAGTTCAGTCATGTGGAAAGGCATGTTTGAACTTGTAAAGTTGGTCATAAATCAAAACAACTTTTTTGTTAGAATCTATCTATCTATCTATCTATCTATCTATCTATCTATCTAATATTCCCCACCCCCTTCCTGTGCCCATTAACTTACCATTTAATGGTAACAACTTTCTATTTTAATGTTTGTTTTCAATTTTAACAAACAAATACTGGATAAAAGACATGAAGGCTTTAAATCACTCCCCTGTAAATTTCTTGGAACCTTGAGATAATGTCTCTGTTAGGAAACTGAGTTCCAAGGTATTAGGATAAAGAAAGAGCAAAAAACAACCTCAACAGGAAAGTTGAAGAAGGACAACTGGGTAACATGAGGAGAGTCAGGAGACAGGAGGCCTGGCGTAATGGGCACAGGGGTAGAAGGACTGAAGTAGGGGTAATGGATGGGGATCAGGGTCCCATGTAGCTGGGGGGTTCCAAGTGTTTCCTGAGTTTATGGTGCAGGTCTATGCCTGGGGAGCCAGTGTCTTGCCTGATCTCTCAGGCATCTATCATTTGAGTGAGTGGGGAAGTGGGCTTTCATATTTAGATCAGGATTCTAGGCTGGAGACTGGGCTGGAGATTTTTCCTGTGGGAAGGGTAGTCAGTGGGGCAAGCCATGGGAGCAATATTGAGTTATGAGACCAAAGCAGATTCCCATCAATCTTTTCATTTTTTATCATTATTATCATTTTCTATCAGAAAGGATCTCACAACATAGCCCAGGTTTACCTTAAATTCGTGATCCTTCTGTTTCTAACTCTTGCCCACTGGATTATAGGAGTTCATCATCATGTCTAGACAGCATAGTTTTGCTCAGAACATTTTTGCTTAATATATGAGCGAGTGAACACAGTGCTGTTCACATTCATTCTTCTATTTCCAACTACAAACAACAATAACTTTTGGATATAATTCAGATAAAGCATTATATCTGGTAGTTTATTAAAGAAATACATATTGGTGTCTGAAGTAAAAAAGTATGTTTAACACTGGGATATGCTGAGGAAACATAAATAAAAATGTGGAACCATTAATAAAAAATTCTAAAACTACCCAGGTTGAATGAAATTTTAAAGCAAACATATTCTTGGAGCATATATTAATGGATCATGCAAATAAGTAAAAAAAGTTTTATTTATTATCTTTAAAGATAGCCTTACCTTATTTTAGTGAATCTCAGAGGATCTATTAGAAAGCAGGCAAAGGAAGCACACCTGGACACTGGCATCCATCAGTAACCTATACATCTTATTTCTTTTCCTAGGCTGTTCCAGTGTGCCTTTCATTGAACCTTGACAAAAATTACGAATTACTCTACTTGGCAGAGCAGTTTGCAGGAGTTGTTTTATATTTAAAATTTCGTTTGCCAGATATCACCAGGTGAGGAAACACTGTGAATGATAGTTTCTAGAAGTTGAACAGGTAAGGACAGAAGGAAAGTACCAGAGAAGGTTCAAAAGGTAATGAATTAGTATTGTCAAACAAGAAAACCTAGAAATATTATCAGCCAGATGATTTGGGAGAATCTTAACATTAGTTTACTCCTTCACGTCTCTAATTGTTTTCCTACTAGAGTATTTTTCTGATCATTCTAGGCTAAGCTTCCTCAATGAACATGTTGCTTTATCCATTATTCTTCATTTTCTAATGAATCTTAGAATAATATTGAAATAAAATTTTGAAATGAATTAGTTTTTCCTTATGAACAACTCGATCAAACAATATCTCCCAGTGAGGGTGATTAATTACAGACCTTCCTAGCTGTGTGAAAAATGAGAATAAGGAAAGAAAATATTAAATACATAGTATCTTCAGCTACTTAAGGAAATGTGCATATCTATTTGGTAATTCTTGAATCAGAATTCGTCAAATGCTTATTTTCCTAAATGTATTGCTTTCTTTGTAAAAATTTAATTAGTTCATACTTTTTAGAAATACAGTATATCTATGGAAATATATGGAATTTTTTATAAAGTGTGCTACCTCTACAACCAATATAAAGAACAGCTGGTGCTTTTTATTTTTAAAGCGAATTCCTTCACCTGTGTTTTCCACAAATACTTTCTCCTCAAATGTTAACAAAGTCATTTTTTTCAACTCTATGATAGTTCTGAAACAGAATGAATTGGTCCCCAGGGTAATAATCAGTAAGAAGATGATATATTCCAGAAACAAAATATGCAGAACACAACCCTTTGAAATATCATTTTAGCATGATTTTCCAAAGGAAAGGAAATTGTCTCCATAATAGGATCAACTTCTGGAAGATCCTGACCATCCACAGATTTGAATTTTGGCAAGATAATCCTTATGTTTTCTCAATGAAAGGCTAAGATAATTACGAAAGACGATAGAGTCCTTATTCCAAGCAAATGGTTGTTTTTTAATGTACACTTAGGTCAGTATATTCCCGCTATCCTATTGTCCGTCCAACATAATTTACTTCTGATTTTACCTCTTTCAAATACTTCTCTGGAATTTGAAGGTGGAAAAGTTTATTTTGTAACTTCTTCTTTGATCACTTTGAGGAAGATCTGTGCCCCATTACAAACAGCCCCCTGTTACTAAGAATACATTAATTATTGTATGATGGAGCAAGGGTGTGGCATTCTTGTTTGACTTACTAGAATTGTCCAAAGTTCTGACTCAAAGTTTAATCACAACAGACATTGCCTGTTACTGATACCCCAAGCATATGGCTACACTGAATTCATTCAGCTTTCAAGTATTCTACTTACTTATTCAATTAGTGCTTTTGAAATCAAAGTAGAGCTGTGTTTTAAAATATTTCTTTTTTTTCTATGAAAGTTTTTTTTTCTTCTTTTTGTTCTGGTCCTGGCACTTGAACTTTGGGCTGAGCTCTGTTTGCTCAAGGCTAGTTCTCTACACTTGAGCCATGGCATTCCTGCAGGCTTTTTCTGTGATTAATTGGAGATGATAGTTTCACAGACTTTCCTGCCCCAGCTGGCATCATATTGCAATTCTCAGATCTCAACCACCTGAGTAGCTAGGATTACATGCAATAGGGACTATTGCTATGAAAGTTTTATTATGCATTGAGAGAAGGGAGCACATTTTCTTGAGAGACGTTTTCTTCCTGGCATGTACAAACATTGGTCAGCTTCTCTTGCTTCCTTTGGCTCTGTGTGTTCCCAGCACCAAATTTGTGTGGTTGGTGAGGTACTCATGGGTGTGGCTGTGCCTCTGCTTGACAACATTCTTGGGAACTGTGTGGCTCAACTAAGACCCACAGGCATGGCATAGGGCAAAGCCATGGCTGCTGCTTTTCAAGGGTTGCTGGCCAAAGGTTTTTTTTTTATTTTATTATCTTTAGCACACATGAAAGTTCATTATATTTGCATTCATAAGATGCTATCCCAATAGTGCTTTGTGAATGATCCACTCGACATATGAAATCATAAAGTACATCTTTTGATGGATCAGCCAATCATGAAATGGTAACATCTTTTACTAATCATTTATGAATACAGAACCCATGCACATGCACACACACACACACACACACACACACACACACATCCTAAGTTCAGATGTTATAGTGTATAAAAGGTTCCAGGAGAGATACAATATATAGAATACTTACAGATGTGTATTAATTCCAGCATTTGAAAGATGCTTTCGAACATATGCCAAAAAAGATGAAAAATTACCAAAGCATCTGGTCATCAAGGAAAAAAGACTCAAACAATAAGCAAAAAAAATATGATAACCAGATTTTAAACACACATGGAACTGGAAAGCACACATGAACAGCCTAAATCTGCCCTTCTCTTTTATTAACTCCAGAGAATGAAGTAGATAATTGACTCAGTATATTACTGTCTGGCAATACAGAAAAAAGATAATACATTAATCCTTTCATATTCCTTATTATTAAGGACTTCCCTTTGTCCATTGTTTAGATTTTCAGCAGAATTTGATTTCCGGACATATGATTCAGAAGGCATCATATTGTTTGCAGAATCTCTTGATCATTCTGCATGGCTCCTGATTGCACTCCGTGAGGGAAAAATTGAAGTGCAATTTAAGAATGAATATGCAACCCAAATCACATCTGGAGGCAACGTTATTAATAATGGCCTTTGGAATATGGTATGTTTTACAGATTTCATAAAGATCTTCTCATTTTGATGCAGTGTGTCTAAAATTGAGATTTTTTTTTCTTATGGTGACAGCCAACTAAAATGGGTTGGGCTATCTAATACTTTATGAAGTATATCATACATTTTCCACATATTATAAATCCATGAGATAGCCTAGAATTTTTATCCTCATCTAGTATATTTAGGGTGTCCTGTAAGTAATTTTTTCTGTTACTTATTTGAAGTCTTTTGTCTTTTAACTTTTTGCCTTTCTTAATGGCTGTCATTAAGTGAGCAATGGTGTCTCTCAGGCAGGTCAGGAATCACAATTAGCAGGCATATGAGTTTGTGTAAAGACCTTAACTGATCAAGGAAAACTACTCTCATACTTTTTTTTTTAATTACAGAGAAATAATACAGTCACAAAAATAAAAATGTCAATTTATTTTTAAATATAAATATATAGAAAAGTAATCAATTTTGTCCAAACAGTTTATAGTAGTAGATACAAAACAGAGAACTTAAAGCTAACATCTTCAAGATAGTGCTACTAATTGCTTTCATTTTATTAGCTGAGATCATCTTTTCAGTCACTTGGATTAAATGGCTCTTTTTTCCAGAGAAGAGATTACAGTTTATCCATATTGGGGCGTGCCATTGCTAGGTTCAGCATAGTGTAACTGAGAGAAGAATCACTTGCTCTTAAAATTTGGTACCCGATAGGGACCATGATTATGGGAACTGGCAAGAGTCTGTGTGAGAGGCCCCATCATTTCCTCCTGTCATTTATTTACTCAAGCACTCACTTTTTCTGTAAGCTTCTACTAGAATTACAGTCAGGCACTCTACTTATTCTCGAGCACAAAACAATGAAGTTAGTAACTGATGCTACTCATGATGCAACGTGATATAACATTACAGTAGAGGTGTGACTCTTAGTTGGAGATGTGGGCACTTTGGGGAGCTGTCTTTGGGCTGTTACTAGATTTTAGACTTCTAACCTCAGCAAATGTCTACAGCCAGATATAACAATATTCAAATATTATCAGCATAGAACTAATCTAAGAAATCATTCAACATCTCTGACTTCAACTGATGTTTTCATCAGTGTAGATTTGCTATCACATATTTCCCACTACATCTATATTAAGATTATCTGATTTGTACAACCATTCCCAAAATGTACTGAAGAACACATTTTACTGTCCAGTCAGTGTCCTTGAATAACTACTCATTAAATCACCTTCTTCAGCAAGAGAGAAAAATTAAAATTTTAACCCAAGAATATTATCATCTATTTTAAGAATAATTTGGTTAAATTTGGATAATACAAAGGTATACATTTAGATAAAGGCAAAGGTATAATTTTACCTGTAAGGCAATATAATTGTCTCTGAATGATGCTCTCAATGGAGAGAACCTATATGAGCTGAATGTCAGCCACTTAGTTTCATAGCTTTTTTTTTTCCCTTGGTCATGGGACTTGAACTCTGGGCCTGGGCATTGTCCCTTAGCTCTTCAGCTCAAGGCTAGCACTCTATCACTTGAGCCACAGCAATGCTTCTGGTTTTCTGGTGGGTTATTGGAGATAGGACTTTCCTTGTCTATGCTGGCCTTGTATTGAGATCCTCAGATCTCAGCATCCTGAGTAGCTAGGATTACAGGTGTGAACCACTGGCATCCAGCAGTTTCATAGGTTTTTAATCTCCAGTGTTTATGGACCTTGTTGAACTATTGTTTAATAGCATATTCATGTTTTAATTAAAACCTATTTCTATAAAATGATTATATAAAAATAAAATTAAAGACAGTTTCACATAAAGACAAGTGAAATAACTAATATGCTAAGTATAGTGCTGTCTCTTTTTTGTAAGTTGTCAATTCAGTATTTTAATAGCTTATCAAGTTTTTTTTAATTTTAATTTTTTTATTGTGAAAATACTGTACAGAGAGGTTACAATTACATGGACAGATAATGAGTACATTTCTTATCAAGCATTGTAGGCTCCTCCTTTGTTTCCCCTTCCCATCCCTTCCCATACTCCCCCATTCCCCCAACCCAATCCTCCCGCCCCCACCCCAAAATTGTAAAGTTCGTTTTCGACATAATGACTTGTACATCTCTTTGTTGCAATGGGTCCACCTGTATCCCTATTTAAACCACTTGTTTTTCCCCTTCCCCTCCACAAATTATACCAACATCAAATACAGTGAAAGCACGGGTTATACTGTGGGGGAGGGACATACAAAATTTTTAATGATACATAAAAGAATTTCTTTTCTCACATTATATCTTTTATCATAACTATATTACATTTTTATTTGTTATAATATTGATGGTTCATTAATACATTGTAGCTCCAAATATTCTTAGCACATGAGTATAAATGAGAGATTTTTCAATCCAGTATTTCAAATGATACATAATGCTGTTTGGTTGTATGGACATTTTTATTTTGATAATTGTAGGTGTCTGTGGAAGAATTAGAAGATCGTATTAGCATTAAAATAGCTAAAGAAGCTGTGATGAATATAAATAAAATTGGAAGCCTTTTTAAACCTACAGAAGGGTTTTTGGAAACCAAAATATATTTTGCAGGATTACCTCGGAATGTGGAAAATGTACTCATTAAACAGGTAACAATCCAAACATATATCATTGATCATGAGTGAGTTCATTTTTGAAGATGTGTTTGAAGATGTGCTTTCCTTGAAAGTCCATAGGCATATTTTGTTAAACAGATCAAGTATGACCATGTGAATTAAACATGGAAAAATAAATTTAGCAATTCTGGAAATTATAATGGGGAAATGAGGGAAATGATGTGTGTGTGTGTGTGTGTGTGTGTGTGTGTGTGTATGTTTGTGTGTGTGTGTGTATTTAAATCCTCAGCATTACACAAGAGAAGTGGACTTTAAAAAAAAACTCACAAGGATCATTTTAGTACTAACATTATAATAGTCATGTTTGGCCATTAAATAGATGAATACATACTTTATATCCAAAATAATACTGTATTATAGAAACCAAGAAAGTGTCTTTCTCAATTCAATTTTAGTTCTAAAATTAGAGATTGAGATGGAATTTATAAAACAGATATAACATGATTTTTAAATAGTTTTTCAAAAAGGTTTCTTGAAGGTAACTATCATGGGCCTGCTGAATGAGCTTGTTCATTTAACATCCAGTTGTATTACTTTACATTCACCTTTCATAATTTATTTTAAATTGTATTAAATCTGAATTAGTTAAACCATGTCAAAATAAATAGAGTTGTCCTTTTGTTTCTTCTTTTTTTGTTGGCCCTGGGGTATGAAGTCAGGGCCTGAGCACTATCTCTAGGCTTTTTCACTAAAGACTAGTGCTCTACCACTTTGAGCCACGGAACCATTTGTGGTTTTCTGGTGGTTACTTGAAGATAAGAATCTCATGGAATTTCATGCCTGGGTTGGCTTCAAACCTTGATCCTCAGATCTCAGCATCCTGAGTAGCTAGGATTACAAGTATTAGATACTGACCCCAGACCTGGTTATATATTTGAACATTGAGGCAGAAAAATTAAGACATTCTTGGGGCTGGGAAGGTGGCTTAGTGGTAGAGCGCTTGCCTTACATGCCTGAGGCCCTGTATTCGATTCCTCAGCACCACATAAGCAAAAAGAAAAAAGCCAAAAGTGGCGCTGTGGCTCAAGTGGTAGAGCGCTAGCCTTGAGCTGAAGAGCTGAGGGACAGCACCCAGGCCCAGAGTTCAGGCCCCATGACCAGAACCACCCCCCTCAAAAAATTAAGACATTCTTAAGGTAAAATAAATTATTAAAAAACAGCCATATATGAAATGGCTACCACAAATCTTGAATCAGACTTGCCACTTAGGTGAAGGCTGAATGCAAGTTTTTATAGTGTGGATTAGCAAGATAAGGTTGTTACAAAGTTCCATAAAGAAAACCAGAAAGCAGCTAGTTGCTCAGGCAAATAAAGCCTGAGCCAGAAACACTCAGAGAATTCATTGCTACAAGCTGGAGAGAACAAGGGCAGAGGTTAACACTGTTTGACAAGAATTGTATGCATTTCCTTACTTATGTAACTGTAAGCCCTCTGTACATAACATTTTCAATAAAAAGGCGATAAAACTGTAAGTATTGTAACAATGGAAGTCATCACTAAAGCACATGCCTTTTCAGTTTACCAGAAAATAACATACATAAAATGTATGCACAGCATATTAACAAAAAAAAAAAAAAAAGAGAATTTACTGTTAGATATAGATAACATCGGAGATGCAGGTAGGACAGAAGAAGTTAAAAGTCATTGGAATTCTAGAGGAGTCCTGAGATAGCTTAAGTTCATATTTATTGGGAAATACTATCTATCTAAAGTATACTTTAAAAAGGTCAAATAATAGATTAAAGTCAAAATATTTAAGATATTTTCAAAGATCACCAAACAAAGGACTTTCCATCCAAATGAAACCTATACCTAGAATCAATGAAGTCACTTATTGGTCTGATTTCAATTTAAAATGTACTCCTTGACCTAATTTTAATTTGTTAGATTAACCCACGCATGGATGGATGTATACGAGGATGGAATTTATTGAAGCAAGGAGCTTTAGGAGCAAAGGAAATTATTCAAGGAAAACAAAATAAGCATTGCCTTGTCACTGTGGAAAAGGGCTCCTACTATCCTGGATCTGGAGTTGCTCAATTTAGCATAGATTACAGTAAGTGATTGCCCATTTTATTTTTCTCTTGTCTCCTCAATGACTAAAGCCTTTCTTGATGAGCAGAGATAATTTATTCAATAAACATTATTGAGTACCTATTATACAAAACATAATCTTATGTGTACTGCTATGTATTTTTTATAAAAACATTCTGGTATATTAGGTAAATAAAGACAGTTGAATATGCTTTTTGCTCTTAAAGTTTATTGGAATATAGCTTAATTCATTTTGAGTAGTTTCAGTTGACCTATTTTAAAGTGCATTGCGTTCTCTGTGGTTGGCCCCTTACTCTGGAAGATAATTAACCTATGAAATAAGAGGTGAAGTGTTAGGATGGTGACAATACAAGAATTAGCAGCTTACTTTAAAATCAATTGTTGACTTAGTTTTTACTACCAAATCATCTGTCTCCTCCATGTGCATAAATCATATTTTCCTTACCATTGTTTTAGAATAAGGAATGGTGGGGTGATGATGGCTTCTATACTCAAAATTTTCCCCCAAGAAATTTACAATAAATCTGTTGAATTTCTTTCTAAATGTGTATTTTAATTTTGAGCTACTCTGAGGTTTGAATATTGGTCAATATGTGAGATAGAAGCTATGTCTGAAAAAGAACAATCAGGGCAAATTTATAACAATTCTTAATACAACAATTCACAATTCTCATCTGGAAGAATAAAAGTGTAGAGGGAAATCTAATTGCGATTATGTTTATTGGCCACATTTAAAAACCATGTTTTATTTTGCCTAGGATATATAGCTTGTTGATAAAGGGGCATTGAAAAGTTATATAAGCTGTAATGTATTAGATTGTAATAACTGTTTTTGTTTTTGTGGTGCATTTAGGAGTACATTCATCTTGCCTTGTTTCATTGTTTTAAACAGGTAACATAACAAATGCTTTGGTTTGGCAAATAAATGTGAGCTTGAATATTCGTCCATCTTCGGGCACTGGCGTGATGCTTGCCCTGGTTTCTGGAAACACAGTGCCCTTTGCCTTGTCCTTGGTGGACTCTAGGTCTGAAAATTCTCAGGTATCTTTAAACCTGAATGATCCTTTCTTTTACTTCATCTCTTTTTCTCCTTCATTTTCTCCTTGAAATGGTTGTAAAAAGGTACATGACCAATGACATAACCTATATGTTTGGCTCAAACTAAAGCATGATCTTCAGGGTTAAATAAGGTCCATGATTACTATTTTTTTTCTTATTTCTGAGAGGTGAAGTTTTGAAAGGGGAATTGAAGGATGTGGTGACTGAAAACCTTTTATATCTCCTAGGATATTCTAGTGTCTGTTGAAAATGTGGTAGTATCTAGAATTGAGGCTACAAATCTTTGTTCCGGTCAACCATCTTATCTGAAATTCAAAGTCAACAAAAACAGTCTGGAGCTGTGGAATCCACATAAAGATACCATCTACTCTGAAGACCTTCAAAAACAACTTGCCATCTTAGACAAAGCAATGAAGGGTACAGTGACCACTTACTTGGGTGGCCTTCCAGGTATCTGATGATATTTTCTTGAGTTTTCAAATTTATTTTTAACACAATTGATGGAGTTTTAACCTTAGAATTTTAGCAAAAAAGGCATCAGAAGGGAAGACAAAAATTCCAATACCCATTATTCTTTTCCTGGATGTTTGTACCTACATTTAGTTGATACATTTTTATTTGAGTTTAAAAATAAACTAAACCAAAACTAATGCATTTATCATTTTTTAGTATTTATTTAGAACATGTATTCCACATACTCAGGATAAAGCAATAAGATAAATGTATATGAGTTTTGCTGTTAAGACTTTTACAATCAGAGGTATATAATAAATTGTTTGAAAAATATTAAAATAATGATAATTGTTATCACTTCTTTGAAGGATTTTCTCCAAAATGAGGACTTGACTTAATTGTAGCAAAAACAATTTCTCTGAAGGTGAGAATATGTGAAGGATCAGGTGAATTTAATTAAGTGGTAGAAGTGAGATTAAAGTATTTATCATTAACACTGTCCATATGTGGACACAATTGGACAGAGCTGGCATTCTTGAAGATGATATAGATGAGTAAAGTTGATTAAAAGAGTCAAAGTGTAGCAAATTCTAAGGGCCCTACTATGATCTTTATCTATTCACTGAAGAGTATTTAAAATTATTTTTTAAAAGATAATATTATTATTACATAAAACTGAATTGTTAATTGTGACCTGCTATTATATGTTTAACAAGAAACAACTTCTCAGGAAAAATACAAAAATCTACTTTTAAGTGATAAAATAAATAATAAATAGTTTTAAAAAGTAATATGGAAAAATAATAAAAAGCTATAATTATCACAACTCATCCAAGTAGTTATAATTCAGAGCTGGATACATGATTTAACATTGCTTAGTCTGCTACTCAACTTTAAAAGAGAAAACAATAAATATTATTATCTTTATAATAAATGTGGAACATAACAAGAATATGATATTTCTATACGTAGTATCATAAGTATAATTACTGACAATACATATTCATTAAATATAATCTCACTATGAACTTCTCCATTAGGATTTGGTTAAATTTGGTTAAATCTATGGCTTCTTACTATAATAGTAGGCAATTAGTGTGCTTCTGAAAGACTTGGGATAACAGTGAAATTTTCTCTTTTTGCAGACATTCCCTTTAATGCCACACCAGTAAATGCATTCTATCATGGCTGCATGGAAGTGAATATCAATGGTGTACAGCTGGATTTGGATGAAGCCATTTCTAAACATAATGATATTAGATCTCACTCATGTCCATCAGTTTCTAATGGCACCAAGAATTTTTAAGGCGTATTTTCTTTGTTGACAATATCTCTTTCCTGAGTGTAATTATACTTATATTTCTATTACAGTTGACAGGTTTTACCTATGATGTTCTTCATTTGATTACTTTTTGGTACTTTGACCTTGGCATTTTTTAAAGGCTCTTTTTCGGAAAAAGTCTGTTGTGATATAAATCACAGAATAAACTCTTCTCTTGCTATCTAAAAATTAATGTGACATAAAATTATTATTTTTTTCTAAAATGACATTTCTTTTGTTTGTAAAATTAAATTTTAATTGCATTCTCTTTGAACCACTGTTGCAATATCTACTTTTGTTACAAGGCAAGCCATTAAACTCAAGAAAAAGTTCATGTTATTAAACACAACCAGTCACAGGAAGAAAATATTTTTTGTTGGTACTTTTTTCTGATAAAGGCAGAAGAAATTTTATCTATTGAATGTAAATTAAATGTACAATCTCAGGGGGAGGGGTTCCTGGAACTTGTACTCAGGGCCTGTGTGCTGTCCTTGAGCTTTTTTTTTTTTCTTTATTCTTTCTTTATATTTGCCCAAAGCTATCATTCTACCTACCACTTGAATTAAAGCTCCACTTCAGCATTTTGGTGGTTAATGGGATAGAAGAGTCTTATGGATCTTTTTGCCTGGGCTTCTTTGGAACCACAATCCTCAGATCTCAGCTTCTTTAGTAGCTAGGATTAAAGGCAAGAAACACCAGGGTCAGCTGAATAGAAGATCTTCAGCCTTTATTACAAAGTAATGCCTCAGGGAGAGAAGTTTTGGCTTCATCTTTCCACAGTCATCTCAAAACTTTTACCTGTGCAGGAAACAAGAGGAATCTATTTTCATGAGAGCAGAACATGAATCTGGCTTCTTGGGAATTGGACTCCATGGGGATGATACATTAGATTGTATAAGAGTGGGTGTGGGAATCTGAAAGAGGCACATTTCTTATGTTTGACAGCAAACAAGCTCTAGTTTGGAAAGGGCAGCGCATTCAGCCATAGGAAGGAAAGTGAACAAATGTGGAGGTTCATAGTTTGCCTTTACTCCAGCTTTTCATTACCATGGTAACATCTCAAATGTGATTTAAAAAATTAAGTAGTTGTACCAAAGGGTTTCCATTCCACAAGTGAGATTATAAATGGAATGCATCTTGATTAATCAAATCCTTTGATTATTGAAGGAGAAAAAAACTATGGAAACTAGAGCCTACTATTGATAAAAGGAAAACTAAAGAAGGAGAGAAGTAAGGAAAGATTGCCATGTACTTGCTTTTAGTGCATTTCAACAGGCAGCTTTTTTTTTTCACTTCTGAATCTACTATTCACGACAGGGATACATGACGTGTTTCATTAACATTTTATAAAATAAATGTTTTTTTCATTAGGGACACTTAACCATCACATAAAACATAATAAATTGTATTTTTAGATTGTAAATGCCTAATATATTTATTCTAACAACTCTTTTAAGAAAATTACATAGTACACACCTAACTCTTCATGAACCCAGTAATTCATTTGGAAGACAAAGCACAAATGTTTGATGGACAATTATGGTTGGAAAATTGATCTTGGAAGTGGAAGGAAAGCAAAAGTAAGATGTAATGAATGTATGATACATCCTTGAAATTATACTAGGGCATCTTATTGCTTGTAATTTTTCTCTGAGTTGCCACCATGTGCTATGGGTGATAAACATCAGCAACTATCTGTTGATAATTAGGAAAAGGGAAAATTTGAGGTAAGTATTGGAAAAAAGAACAGAGGAGGAAAAATGGATTTCCTTTAGAGAAATTAGCTTCGCATTTAATAATGTTATATACAGGGGCATGTCTGAGTATCACTTCCACATTTTACATCAGAAGTAGAAACCTACCTATGTACAATGCTGTTCATACCATATTCAGAGAGCTATTTACAAATGTCATCTACTTTTTTGTTTTTTATTGTAATAACTGTACAGAGGAGTACAGTTACTAATGTAACTAAGATAATGAGTACATTTCCTATTGAGCATTGTTACCCCCTCCTTTGCTTTTCCCCTACCATCCCTTTCCTCCCCACCTTCCCACCTGCCCCCTCCCTACCAAGTTGTAAAGTTCATTTTCTACACAGTGTCTTGTACATCTCATTGTTACAATGGGTCAAACTGTATCCTTATTTCAGCATTTTGTTATTTCCTTTCCCCTCCCCAAATTAGAAAATATATATATACAAGATGCAAGCCAGTGACATCAAATATAGTGAAAACAGGAGTAATACCCTGGGGAAACACATACAAGAGAAATAAAAAAATTCACATGGTATATTTTAGATACATTAAAAACAATAGCAAGAAAGATAAAACCTCTTATGTCCCTATGTTGGGGTTCATTTCACTTAACATTATCTTGTATGGTCATATGTACATAGCTTTTGACCTTTTCTGCTTTTTTAAAGTAGATGAAAGAAACTAGGTATGATGGTATTTCACACATAGAATTTTAGCAAAAGAGACATCAGAAAGGAAGACAGAAATTTCAATACCCATTATTCACACATGACAGGATAAGTAGAGGTGCTAGACCTTTCATGACAAAACTTTGATATGATCAATGATTTTGATCATGCAAAGAAATATAAATTTCTACTTTTAACATGTTGGTAGAGATACAGAATGTCTAAAGGTCTAAACCCAACTGAATTGGGAAATTAAAAAGGTTCAAATCAGTACATAGTAAGCCTCAGGTTTCTAGCTACGAATTTGCTGTTTTTAGGTTATCCAAAGTAACTGAAAAGCAAGTGTGTTACATTCCTATGTAAGAGAAGCTTGGCCTTTATTAGTAAAAATGTGTTGATGTTGACTTTTCACGTAGTTCATTTGCTATATAGTAAGATTTAAGCTTTGTGACAACTTGGGTTGGAGGCTTGGCTTGAGGGTTCATCCAGTGATATACTAGGATCCAGTCTCAGTCTTACCTTGATCTTGGGTTGTGTTGTGTCCCATTTTGTAGAATGTGAAGGTGAAGACATGTTTTTTAAGCTGGTGTGCTCTCTCTGTCTCTCTGTCTCTCTGTCTCTGTCTGTCTCTGTCTCTGTCTGTCTGTCTGTCTGTCTCTGTCTCTCTCTCTCTCTCACACACACACACACACATGCACGCACACACACACACACACACACACACACACACACACACACACACACACACACACACACAGCTTTCTTGGTGTCCTCTGTTAAAGGACCGAAACAATCATGGACTGAGACTTGTAAAATCATTATCCAAACTAAATCTAGAAATATTTAGCTGTTGATCTTATCCTTATAAGCTGTTTATCTCAAGTAATTTAGCATAGCAATGGAGACATAGACAGACAGGTAAGATTAATTAAGGGAATTGGCTCTTGTAATTACAGAGGTTGAAAATCCCCTGAGACACCTCCTGGATACTCTAGAGACTTGGATGCTAGGAACAGGGCTCAAACTAGACCAATGTCAAGGTGATGAACACTTAAGGGGTCATTGATGCAAGTCCAGCGGTCTGAAGACTGAAGGACCTGGAGAATTAATATTTAACAGCAAGAGAATTGAGTATCCTAGTTTCAGATTCCAAAGTGAGAGAGAGAGAGAGGAGAGGGGGGGGGGGAGAGAAGGAGAGAGAGAGAGAGAGAGAAGGAGGGAGGCAGGGAGGGAGGGAGGGAGAGAGAGAGAGACAGAGGGAGAGTGGGAGAGAGGGAGTGGAGGTACCTTACTTTCCTTCCTCCACTCCAGTTTGAGTCCAGTATTTTGACAGATACTGCTCAGTCTGGGCCAGCAATTCTGAATATACATGAAAGAAATATGTATCTCTCCATGAAGTAAATCAAACGAGATGGAGGAAGCAACCCCAAAGATGGGATCTTACAACCACACCACAGATGCCCCACACTTTTCTCTCACCTGTTGGTTATGATTTTCTGGAAAATATAGCACATACATTTGCATGCACTACTTTGCATATATCCTTTCTCCTTGTTACTGCAAATTTAGCACATAAGTGAAGCCCATAAAAAGTAAGAATAAATGTGAATCATTACGGTGCCCTCGTTTGCTTTCCTTAACTCATACTTTTCCACTCACCTGAAATATTCTCCAGCCATAGACTTAATGAAAATCTTCATTGAAAAAGCTGGCTAGTTCTGTGGTTAAGCCTATTTTAAAGGTGGACAACTTTCCTGGTCTTTAATTACATTGCTTTATATTCTAGCTCGCTGCAGGTGTCCAGCATCATTCACAATACTTTTTATTATCTTTAGCATATTAAGTCAAGCATTGTGTTCTCTTTACAGCTATCATTTGACCAATTTGTCTTAACTCTTTAGTTTTTTTCTTTCTCATCACATTTCCACATCAGTTAAGTTAGACTTTACTCACACTATTCAGATTTTCTCAAATCAATTTCCCCTAATCAATGCACTTCATTGCATTTGTATATCATTTCATTTAAATTGTTTATAGATATTGCTGTTTATACTGTTTCTCTCCATATGTTACAATTTTATGTGAGAAAAAAAATAAAACACTGTCTGAACCCCAATGCATGACATTTAGTCAGCAAGGTATATCTGTTGAGCAGATCAATTGTATTATTTATAAGCACTTGCTTACTTCCTGCCAAACTAGGTTGTAAACATCTAAGTATCTGGAAAACATTTATGATAACTTGGGAATGTATGATGATTCTGGACTGCCTTCTTTGCTTTCTGAATCACTGTAACTTCATGAACTGAGAACTCTTGGTTTCTTAAAATCATGTCCCCACACTTCTCCATTTCTATTGTTTCACTTTTACTCAGTGTTTACATTTTTAATTGAAGATTAAAGAAAGAACAGTAATTAAAAAAGGAATTAAGCATATGAGTTTTAGCAAGCACTATTTATCATGCCGAAGTAAATATAATATGCTCTATTATCATTTTTTCTGGAGACTTTTGACAATGGAATTATTGGGAGGATTTATAGCAGAGCTTTAGCAGGAGATAAAGGAGAAACATTGAAGACTTAAAAAAAAAAAGAATGAACAGTTCTTACTGGAGACCACAATAGGATGCTTTAGGGCAAAAGGCAATTCACTCTAAAGAGATACTACCCTAGAAGGAAGATATTGACGTGCAAAGATGTCCTATTTTTCTTCCATTCTTGGAATTTCATGTTCTGGCAAAACCAGATGACTCATATTACTGTGAAACATCCCACATCCACAAATCATGGCAGAGCTGTCTCAAAGGAAATCCTCAACTTCTACATCAACCTGGACATGCCATTATTTT